TGGGCATAAGAGAAAGGGGCCAGCCCACCCTCAGAGAGGCCCAGCTCCTGCTGCTCCCTTCATTTCAGAACTCCAACCTCTGGAGCTGTATCAGCATCTGCTGTCCAAGCCACTCAGCATGGGGATGTTGTTAGGCTGCACTAACTCTCAGAACATCAAAGAAGAGGAACACCTCCCCTAACTAGTTCTCCTGACACCAAGACAAGAAAAAGACATAGAAGTGAGCATCCATCCAATATCTCTGATGAGCTGGCAAAATATTTTTGACAAAAGACTTTAGCAAATCCGTCCAACTATCCACTTAAAATATCATGACTAAGCAGGGTCAGTCCCAGGAATGGGAGCTTAGTGCAGGGTTTGAAGATCAATCAGTACAGTGATTGCTGATGGAACTTAATATTAGTGATGAGCTATTAAGAGAAAGCCATAAGACCATTTCAGTAGATGGATTTGGCAACATCTAACATTCATTCCTGATTATATATGCAAAAGCAACAACTTTCAGGGCCTGTACAGTGAGTGACTCAGCATATGTGAAATTGCTTGCCAAGCAAGCCTGATGATTGAGTTTGGTTCCTGGAATTAATGGCAAAAGGAGAGAATCAACTCACAGACACACGCACACACGCACGCACGCACGCACAAGTGTGCACACAACAGTTGTTTTTTCTTTCTTTTTTTTTTTAAACAATGTGGAGTAAATAGAAGGGAGCCCCCTCAGCTAATAAGGGCTTTCCACAAAGACAGCTCTGGCAGCACACTCAACTTTGTAAAAGGCTGACTGAAGGAGCTGGTGAGGCAGGAGGGGCTACTATAGAAATGTGACAGTCACAGTCTGTCTTCACAGGCATGAAGAGAAGGGCAGCTTTTAGTTGATTTTTTTTTTTCTTCTGTCTTTGACAAACACATTTTGGTGGAACATGCTTATTTCCCATGTAACCTGAGAAGCAGCCATCCCATGGCGGTCCCTGCAGGGCTTTCCTCTTTTGCATTCGCATTTCCCTTAAAGAATGGAGTAGGGCCTAAGAGGTGGCTCAGCCGGTAGAGGTGCTTGCTGCACAAACTCCCCAGCCACTTGAGTTGGGTCCCTGGAACCCATGATGGAATGAGAGAATTGAACCCTCAGAGTTGTCCCCTGCCTCCACACGTTTGCTGCGGCATGCATGTGTCCCCTCCCAATAACGATGGTAAGTTAAATACAATGAAAACAAAACCCAAACCAAAAGGCAATCCCGAGATCGTGGCCTGAGAAGGAGGCAGCAGGCTGGATGGTCTTTGAAGACCTAGAAAGGCTGTGGTGGACGTGGCAGCCAATCCTGCAGCATTCTGCTTGTCATGTGCTAGCCAAATCTGTGGCTTTGGCTGGACACACAGACCGTGTTAATAATTGTAGTTAATACATGGAGCCGTCTCAGAACATTCGACAGTAGACTGAGCTCCTTAATCCCGTGAAGGCAGTTTGGGATCTCTAATTACTTGGTTGAAAAAAGGCAGACACTCAGGGCTGCAGCAGTGTTTGGGAATTAATCTTTAAAGCCTGACAGTGAACATTCAATTCAATTAGGGAGAGCAATTGGCGAAGATTCCCCTCGCCTTCGCCCTCGGTAGCAAGCCGGGACTGACTGGTCGTCATCGATTCTACTGCTGCAGTCCGCAAATGCACTAGCAGGGAGTGTGCAGTGCCACCTGGTTGGGGGGGGGGTCTGTCACACCTTGCTTCAGCTCTGTCTCCTCAGACCCAGGCCTGTGCAGGACACCCCTGCCCAAGAATCCTAGGGCACTGTGCATCTCCGAGTCTAAGCTTTCTTCTGCTGTCTTCCTTCTACCCTCCCTGCTCCCTGTCGTGCTCCCCCCCCAGTCTGCGGTCCTCCCTGCCTTTCTGCCTCCCCACCCTCATCTCTTCTACCTTTTCCCTCTCCATCCTCACTAACTCAGCGTCTTACTGCACATCACCAAAGGTTATACTCAAAAGTATAGGGGCAGGGTCTTTCGCAGCCTTCCCGTCTCATAGCCAGCATCCCTCACGCAGTGCTGAGCTCCAGCCTTGCTTCCAGCTTGCTTCTCATAGGCTGGCTGTTCCTCTTGCTGCTCTGGCCCCAGACCTAGGGTGGTCCTGTCCTCTCTGTCTGCTCTGCTGGCTTTCCTCCAAGGGCTTCCTGTTGCTTCTGACTCCCCTACGAACCTCGTCTCCGCTGCTGCCGCCCCTGTCCCAAGCCTCCCCCTCCCCATCTTCTCCCTGCAGGGAGCTAAAGGGGTCCTCCTCCTCCCCAGGAGACCCTGGATGCTCTACCGCCTGTAGAGACACTCTAACCATTCCTCTTCCTGCCACACCCTGTTCCCCTCTGGCCAGGCTGGCCTGTGCTGTATTTCTCACCCCTCAGGCCTTGAGTGGTCCAACATGGCCACCCTCCCAGCCCCTTCTGTCGCCTCTAGAGACCCCTCTCTTGCTGATCTTGGAATATCAGCCTTATAGTCCATGCCTCATAGAGTCCATTCTGCTAGTTAGTGTAGGACCTGTCTTCCCGACTGCAAGGTCAACTCTTGGAAGGCAAGAGCCTTTTTTTTGGCTGCTTCCCGTGAGCAGTGTCTGGCTAGTTAGTAAGCACTTGGGAGTGCTTGTTAAATGAGAGAGTGGAAGAGCTTTACAGAGGAGAACATGTGGACGCCATTGTTTCAGAGCCCCCTTGTTCCTCCCCATCTGCTCCTAGTACGTGCCACTCACTCCCTCGAGGGAAATCCTGAACAGTGTTCACAGCTCCTGGCAGTGCTTGCGGTAACAACCATCCCGAGCTTGTTCTTAAGGTCTTATGGCAAATGGGTGAGTGAGTAAACAAGGTTGTGTGTGTGTGTCAGTGTGTGTGTGTGCATGTGTGTGCGTGTGTGAGTGTATGTGTGCATGTGTGTCCGTGTGTACACGCGCGCATGTGCGTGTGTGCATGTGTGTGTGAGTGTGTGTGCATGCAAGTGTGTGCGTGTGTGTGCGTGCGCACATGTGTGAGTGTGTGTGCACGTGTGTGCATGCAAGTGTGTGTGCCTCTGTGTGTGTGTGTGTGTGCGCGTGCGCGCGCACACGCGTGCAGGTTTGGGGATGCAGTTCACACTGTTGGGCAGCCTTGGCTGCGTCCATCCCCAGGACACTCTTACTCCACCCACACCACACTCCTCCGGCTCCCCGCAGCAGGGTTTCTCTTTCCTGCCTGTGATTCTGACTACTCGGGAACACCAAGAAGGGAAACCGCACAGATTTCCTCCTTTCGGGGCCAACCTGTCCCGCTGAACACAGTTGGTCCAGGCTCCTCCGTGTCCTGCTGCTGTCAGGAACCTGACTAAGAGGCACTCCACTGTGTGGATGGACTGCATTTTGCTTGTTCTCTTACCTGTCCACGGACAAGTGGGCCCCTTCCACCCTCTGTCCGTATGAACAAGGGCGAAGCTTCTTTGAGACCCCAGGACCCGATGTTTACTTTGTTCTCAGAAGGGGAGTTTCTGGGTTTCATGGTAACCCTCCAGGTTTCTGGGACTCCTCAAGCTACAGTCCATCATGACTACACTACCTCACCTTCCAGCCAGCAGGGTAGGGGATTCTGATTTCTCTGCATACATGCCAACACTTGTGATTTTTTTTTTTTTTATACCAGCCTGCCTAATTAGTACGATGCAGTAGTTCGTGTGTCTTAGAAAATGACATCATACTCTGTAAACGCGGCTTGTCCTGTGTAATGGTGTCGGCCCTGCAAAGCTTCACTTGCTTGCTTAGTTTTCCTACCAACATCATGCCTGCACTCAATTTTGAAGAAGCAGCCACGTTCTGCCCTCTGCCCCCAGTCCTCACTGTGCTCACCAACCTTGGCTGCCCCTCCTGTTAGTTCCGTGTTTTAAATGGAGCTACTGCTGCCCTGGGTTTTATCCTCCTGAGTTTGAGACCCAGCTGTTGACCCCTGGTGTGAAAGGAAAGAATAGAGGGGACCTTCTCCTCATGACCTCTTGTTTGCACAATTATACATTTACATATCCCCAGGAAACTTTTCAGAACTCTGGTTTTGAGAGCCTTCAGGACTTGGCAGGTGGAGTTAGCACATCTGTACTGGGAGTTGCCCTAGGAACAGGTTTGTGGAAGTGTGTGGGTGTGCTTGCTTCAGCTTTTCTAGAACTTTGGAAAATATGATGCTGTTGATACCCATGGAGTCTTGCTGTTTCAGATCTCCAGCCCTTGCAAGCCCTCCAGTCCCCACAAGCCTGCACCCCCATCCCTTCAGGCCCCCCTCCCAGTCTGAAGCCCCATCAGAACGTCCAGCAGACCTACTGTTGCTCCTGCTGCAGAACTAACTGTCCCTACTCCAGCCTCACTCCTGCTGGGGCGATGCTTTCCTCTCCAGTTTGTGGAGTGGGAGACTGAGGCCCAGTGGGGGAGGGGTTCACAGTGTGGCCCCTCCCCGTAGTGACAGTGAGGAGAGCCAGGCCTGCCAGCTGGGGTACTGTAGCTCTCTTGCCTGGGCTTGTAAGCCACTTTTAGGAGTGAGTTGTGGACTGGACATTCTCCTGAGAGCCTCGTCCCTTGATGGGGAGTCGGGATGAAGTTGTGGGGGATGGACCCCTCTCCTAAGAAGATGCACGGTTGCCCTGAGCCTGCTCCTGGTACTCCTACTCTGTGAGTGACTGGCCTTTGTCTGGGTCTCACTCTTCAAGAGCTCTCTTGACTGAGCCTGACCATGTGCTCCGTTGGCTCCAGCACAAGTATCAGGCTATAGGAGGCTGGCGTAGGACTGTGACATGTCTGTGGCCGGCAGGTAGGAGCAGGTGTGAAGGTTGAGTGGAGACAGGAAGTGCTGTTTTCTTAGCCCTGGAAAAAGGAAGCTTGCACGTTTCTATGAGGAAAAGCAACTGTAGCTGTTGTAATGTGAAATAATAGGAAGTCAATTCCCCTGGGAGCCCCTTGCTGACCTGGAGCTCAGGCCCTCATCATCAGTGTCTGGTGCTGCCTCTCCATGTTTCCCTTGCAGGTGTGGAATGCTGTGGACTCGGGGCACTGCCTGCAGACCTACTGTGTGCACAGTGAGGCGGTACGGGCTGCACGATGGTCTCCTTGTGGCCGGCGCATCCTCAGTGGTGGCTTCGACTTTGCCCTGCACCTAACGGACCTTGAAACAGGTGTGTCCTGATCTCTCCCTATCCTGGGTCAGCCCTCTCACCGGCCAAGCCTCTCCACAAGGCCCTGATTGCCACCCGCAATCATGGTGCCGTGGGGGCCTCCGGACAGACTCATCTCCCTGACGGCTGTACGGATCATTTGCCAGTGGTACTGCAGCTGTCTGCAGAGCACTGGAACCAGTCCTCCGCCAGTCAGCAAAGGACAGCCACACTTGTCTCAGCCCCAAGCTGCAGGGCCGGATAAAGAGGCAGCTTTTTAATCAACTTCTGTTGTGTAACTGGGACCGAAATATCACGGTGTCCTTTGGTTGGCATCAGTCTAGAATTCCCGTCAGTCCACGGGGGTGGAACTGCGTTCTATAGGGATGTCTTCAGAGGGGCTCTTCCCGGTATTTATACTGAGAGGCACCCGAGAAAGACAGGTCCATGAAGGAAAATCCCCAGGGACACTTCATTAGGTAGGGAAGCGGGGAGAAGCCAGCAAAAGGAACTTTCCCAGGCAGGTCCTATGCAGCAGTCCTGGGTTGGGCCAGTCAGTCACAAGGGAGACTGGGGACTGTTGACTATGGGGTCTAGCCTTAGCTTCTGGGACTTTTCTCAGAATTCTCATTCTGGCTGTCAGCAGCAATGGGTCCTAGGAGCCAGTAGGTGGCGCCACAGTGGGTCATGGCCTCGTTTGTGTTCCAGCTCGGAGGACCTGGGACTGCGCCTGTGATCATGTGACGTGTCTCAGTGGAGGGTGGGAGAGGAGGTAAATCATGGAGGGCAGCATGCTGGGGCTCCTGTGTGCAGGGTAGGTATAGAGAAGAGAGGCGGCCAACATGCAAATGTTACTGTCCAGTAGGGAGGGATGAAAAGTACTTCATCCTCCTCTGCTTGGAATGGTGTCTGCATGGGGCTCATCTCCTGAAGGATTGTTTTCCTCCCCTTAATCTGTTACTTACGAATGCACCTACTGTGTGCAGGGCCTGCGCTGGGGTATGCTGGGTCTCTTTTGTCCCCAGAGAGGACAGAGTGGATGGGTTTGGATCTCAGCCTCCAAGAAGGACTCTGGACCCCAGATGAGGCCTCTCCTGTGAGGATAGCTGGTATTTCTGTCTGTGTTCTGGCAAGTGTGTGTCCCCGAGGATGGGTCCTTCCTGGTGGTCTCTGTCCATTGCTTGGACGGGGCTGACTCACATCTGCATAATTGGAGAGCTGAGGCTGGGCCCTGCTGTATCTTCCTATCCTGAGTAATGAAGCTCCCAGGGCTGCTGGGGTTGGGGGTGCATATGTTTGCACACCCCTCCCTGGCCCTGCGTCCTAGAGCTTGTGCACCCTGTGGCCTCCGTCCGGCTCTAACTAGTCTTGTCCTTTCTCTTCTCCCAAGTCTGATCTTCCATTTTCTTCCTGTGCTTCTCCCGCCCATGGTGATTTGGCTTTTTCATTTCAATCTAATTAGAGCGCCCTGCCAGGAGAAGGCAGCGCAGGGCGTTCTCTCTGCAGTGCTTTGGGAATTAGTCACTCGGTGCCCATTGTCATTAATGGGAATTTGGCGCCAAGGCCATTTATCCTGGTGTCTTCAATCAATACAGTTAAAAATCTGTGGATTCTAAAATGTCAATACCCGGCCTGAAATATGGCGGGCCAGTACCATTTTATCTCGTTAATTTATAGTTCTGACGGGCTGTTGGCTTATGGAACAGCCATGAATCAACACTTAATCAAATCTGCTCACAGATTAATTATTTTTGGCGCTCCTGTTTCCGTCTGCAATCTCCCTAACAAACGTCTCTGCTACATTAGGCACAGGCGGCCTCAGGGAACACTGGCAGACGCCACCTAGGCCCCGAGTGTCACCCGCTTTGTACGTGACCTGTCCTGCAAGCCAATCAGCTGGCTGTCTCCTTAGCGCCCCTTGGAACTTGCTCAGCTCTGAGGGTCCCTCTTGCAGATCTCAGCCCCTTAGAGGTGCGCTTCTCATTCTTGGTGGGCAGCAGCTCCTCCAGGCAGTGGGGTGACATGTGCCTTCCATTTGGGCCTGCGGCAGGGGTGTAGACCCCACAGGCAAGCCACAGGCAGCGCTGCAGGCATCTGCTCTGCTGTCTGGGATGCTCACTGTCCTGACTATCTCCTCTTGTTTCCATGTCACTAAGTCTTTTGTTGGGGTCATGGTGTGTGGGAGGGATTAGCCAGGTGGAGCTGCAGCTTACATGACTATTCCTTTCTAAAAATTGTCTTCGGCCCCGTCATGACTAGGGCTGATGTCACAAGTCCCTGATGTAACTCTGGTGTCCCTCATGCCACTAGGCCCATATTGAGCTGATATCAATAAATGGAATAGGCCCTTTGCTTAGGTGACATGCTTAGTTCCCCACTGGCCTGTGTGACCCCATCTGCAGCCCCATTTTTTTTTTTTTTTTTTGATGCAGAAATCAACATTTTGAGTGCTTGGTGACTTTCTTGAGGCCACCTAACCAGTGTTGATAGCTTGGGCTGGTATGGCCTCCACTCCCCCTCTCCCTGCTGTGGACAAACTATCTTGGCAGGGTGCTTGGTTGTCTCCAGGCAGTGGCTCAACATCTGTAGAAAACAGGCCTTGGGAGAATGGAGTGCCTGAATGATCTTGGCTAACCCCTCTGATTAAGTGATGGACTGAAGGATGCTTTTTGAGCTGTGGACAGCTATGCTCCTGGAGGAGCAGTGATAGCCTTGACAACTTCCGAGCACTTGGCCTAGGAAGAGTGAATAGTGCCCAAATGAAGGCCGTGGCGAAGAGCACTGTCAGCTCATGAGGCTTTGGAGGAGGGGATGTGGGAGAAGGCTCCGTGTCAGGCTAAGCCTCTGAAGTGGCACCGGCTCCCACTGGTGCTTGAAGCAAGTGCTCTACCGCAGCAGCCAGGCCTCTGTAGGTTGCCAAGCTCTGTGGCACACTCACGGTTTTCCAGAACACTCCAGGAGAACCTGCTTAGGGTCCTCAGCATCCCTGGAGACCAGGGATGAAACTGTGCCGGCTGTGTCCCAGGCGACAGTAGCCAGGGCCTGCTTTTGGCCTGGCATTCTCGTCTGTTTATCATGTTAGGCCCAGTGATATTGCGGCTCGGTGCAGCAGGTCTGAGCTGACGATGGTCCCTGGCCACCGTCCTTCATGTGCTCTCTTGCTCAGTGAACAGCTGCTGCCTACCCTCCACCTTCGGTAGCCATGTCACAAGACCTTCCTCTAACCACCATGACCCCTCTCCTGCAAGCTCTCTAAGCAGCTTTTCCTTGGCTTCCCTCCACACAGGGTTGTTGCATCTCCATAAACGGTCTCATCCTTAGCTGGGAAGCTCATGCCCGCCCTCCTTATGAAGAAGGCAGAACCCAGGTCCCAGCATGATTTTGTCAGTTGGCCTGGGCTCCCGGGACCCGTGTATCTCCTGTGTGTAGGCAGCAGTCACCAATGAGCAACTGGCCCTTCTTAGGTTAGGCTCCGGAGCCGAACGAGGCCAGGGCATGTTCGGTTTCAGCATGGTTGGTTCTGTGTTTTCAACAATTCGCTGATAGCTAAACACAGCTGGTTTGCAAGCTAACTCCCCACCCCCTAATTTTAAGAAATTCAGTTTTGTCCAGATAACTGAAAGTGGGCTGGGCTTGGGAGGAAAAGCATGGTGGCAACCGCCAGCCTCCTGCAGCCACCGCTCATGTGGCCCTACTGTGTTTGCTCTGGGGTTTTCTCCTGCTTTTGCTGTATTTTCCCACAACTACCTCTGAAGGGCAGTTTTGAGCCTGCTTTTACAGTAAGGATGCCAGACTCTTGGCTGCATTGCCGAGGAGCCCAGAACCCTGCTGGTGGGCATCCAGATGAGGCCTACCTGGCCCTCAGCCGGCATCCTGCCAGGCCTCTGCCCACATGCCAACATGGGCCCTGCTCCTGATCCATGGAGGTTGATTGGAAAGTTAGCAAGCTTCTTTTCTCGTTAACTTTGAGTCAGGATGGTTAAATTTCCAGCTGGCTGAGTACTTCCCAGAGGATGAGTGTAACGATATTGATTTTTAGCGAAATGAGTCATATGCCTGCTGCCTGGGAACACAGGCTCAATTACCACGAGCCAACAACATAAGCTTTCCCTTGTCAACATTTTTCCTACATGTTCGTGAGTCTGTGGCTAGGAACAAAGAGCCACGGAGAAGGAAAGGTCATGAGTAGCCGGCGGGTCTAGAAGTGGCATGCAGACAGAGGAACTCTGGGGTCACCGTCTGCGTGGCTGGGCAGTATAGCCAGATGTCCTTTCCCTTATCAGATTCCCTCTCCTCAGCTCTGAGATGCAGGTTAATTCCTGCCATCACCCGGGATTGTGGTGTGGTAAGCGCAAGGCCCAGATAGGCCTGAAGTACAGGCTTATTGTATATGTTGGTTCCCTTCCCACTTGTGAGCTCGTAGTGACTTAGGTGAGCCCCTGCAGGGGCACACGCCCCATCTCTTTCCTAGGGACCAACACTTGGTTTTCACTTAAGCTGGAGGGTCTTCGGGGTCCTGAGGCCTGTCTGACCATAGTGTCCCCTGGTGCAGACATTGGGCTGACAGATGATGTTACCCTGGTTACGGCTACCTTGGGGAAGCTTAACACCTCTACCTAAGAAAGGAAGAGGTACAGCTCAAAGGAGTTGCCTGTCCAGGGTCACCCCACTGTCACCTCAATGATACTGGATAGGAGCGATGGTGTCAAGAGAGGATTCTGGGTTTCTATAGAATCCTTGAAGCATGGCTTTGCTTTCAGGATGATTTATTTATTCTAGGGCTGGGGATTGAATTTGGAGCCGCATACTCATAAGCAAGTACTCTGCACCAAGCCACACCCCGCCAGCCCAGAAACATATTTTCTATTTGTATCATTATTGATCCAAAAAGGAAAAGAAGTAATTTTTCTTAACCCCAAGAAGATCCAAACAGTTTTTATACTGGTTGAGCTCATTATAACCAGATCAATACAGCCAAGTGCCAATGGATTCCATATTTTAAAGCTCAATTTCCTATAAGC